CCGCAGGCCTCATGTTTGCCACCTGTGCACTACATGAAACTCTTGCAGAAAAATTAATTTATTTCCTCCTTGAATCAGTACCCCAGGAAACAGCATTCTTTTTCTATAAAAAGAAATGTGCTTCTATTACCACTGCAAACAATGAACATGCATGACTGTTTTATATAGTAAGTATGCAATAAATACTTCCTAAATTAATGAACAAATATTCCCTGATGATGTCCAGTAGTTTTTTAAAAATCCTGAAAAGGACGCCCTGGCTGGCATAGCTCAGTGGATTGAGCGCGGGCTGGGAACCAAAGTGTCCCAGGTTCGATTCCCAGCCAGGGTACATTCCTGGGTTGCAGGCCAGAACCCCCAGCAACCGCACATTGATGTTTCTGTTTCTCTCTCTCTCTCTCTCTCTCTCTCTCTCTCTCTCTCTCTCTCTCTCTCTCTCTCTCTCTCTCTCCCCACCCCCTTCCCTCTCTGAAAATAAAAGATAAAATCTTAAAAAAAAAATCCTGGAAAGGGGAAGGGCATAGTATTGTATCTGTTTAATTTTACTTGATGAGTATCCAAGACACCACTAATCCAGTGCTTTTAGATGGCAATCCTGACCTTAACTAGAGCCCCTCCAATGAAATGATTTACTGTTGTAATAGTCTTTCAAAGGTAGGCTATCATGGTCGACACTGAAACTTTTTTTTAAAATTTAAGACAAACCACCAAGAATCTTTTTTTAGCTAGTTATGATTTTTTTACCAGTCAGAAATTTTTTAAAAAGTAAAATACGCTGAAATTCTATACCAACAATCCATCCTATAAATTATCAAACAGATGATGCAGTGTTAACTATAGTCATTAAACTTTTGTTCCTATGTTAATGAAGGGAAAGGAGAACACCCACTGTCATTTATGGAGGGCCCTATTTAAAGAATACAAATATAGAAATCGAACGGATTCATACTTCTGGCCACAAGAAGGTTAGTAAAAAAATAAAAAACCCAACATTTTCTCCTTTGGTATTTCTCCCATTTTGAGAGTTTTCTAGTTCCAAATCCAACTGAAAATCATCCTCATTTCCCTTCTCCCCCACTGCCTTGACTGGTAACAACTAATTCTGACCATATCTTTACTCAGCATGTGTTTAACATTAATGTATACACTTTATACTATATACAACCATTCTTCACACAGTGCACTGGAACTGCACCAGGATTACAGCTCAGGTAAAAATCCATGTCACTGAACATGGCAAGAACTCAGTAAATGGTCAGTAACAGTTTGATGGGGTCGGGGTAGGACTAAAACTCCCATCAGTCCACTTCCAGTAAGTGTAAATGCCAGTGTAGCTGGGTGGCTGGCTGGACACTAAGCAACAGTGACCACCTAACAAAGGACTAAAGGAATGAAATAGGCATTAAGCATTCTGTATTAAATGTACACATACAAAAATATCCTAGGATCTTTGGGAACTCAATTTACAGATAAAATTGGTTGCAATAAGAAAATCAAAGGACTTAAGTAAAAAAAAATTAATGTTTAAGGGCAGAGTTGGCAGAAATGATAATGTGCATTAATGTTTTACAAATCAACCCCAATGGTAAAGAACTGTCACAATCCTATAACAAGTATTGGCAAAAATGTGGAATAATTATTCTGTTGATGGTGGGAATGTTGGTGGAACAGCCGCTTTGGAAAAACATCTGGCAGTTGCTCAAAAGACTAAACATTGATACTACCATGCAACCCAGCAATTCCCCACCTAGGTACATATACCCAAAAGGAATGGAAAATAAATGTCCACACAAGTGTTGATAGCAGCATTATTCATCATCACCAAAAAATCCACTGATGAATGGATAAACCTACATATACTTTCTCCAGATTTTTCTATTTATTTTACTCTACAGATACAGTCACACATGTAAGTAGACGTACACACTGATGCTATCGTGGCCATTTACAATAGGGACCGGAAACCCCCCGAGGTTATCACATATTACCATTAAATAAATCACACTTCAGCCACACAATGCAATACCACCCAAGCATTAAAAAGAGGACTGGTGTGGCGTAGTGTGTTGGGCATCATACTGGCAAACTGAAGGGTAGCCAGTTCAATTCCCAGTCAGGGCATGTACCTAGGTTGTGGGCCATGTCTCCAGTTAGGAGCATGCTTCTAAATAAATAAAACATTTTCCTTAAAAAAACTATATCACACAATTTGTGGCAACTCAGATAGGCAAAGAAAACTTAAGGGAAAGAAAATATTAGAGGGGAGGGAAACTACATCTATACATCTCCTTTGCTAATGGTCGACTCTAAAAATGTGCATGCGTTGCTGTTTAAGTTAGAAAAACAATGACTGAGAGAAAACAAGTTGGCAAGAATGGGACCAGGTTGCCATTTGCCTCAAGTCTTCCCTACAAGCCCTGAAAATGGAAAACACACACTACACCCATAGTCACTTTATTTTGTCTTGAATATCACATCAGAACAGACTGATTTAGCTGTTGGGGTTTTTTTGTTGTTCTGTTTTTTGTTTGTTTTTTTTTAGCCAGGAGGCCTGAAGAAATCTTAGGGAAAGTCAACTCCCTTACTTTTCCCTCATGTGGTCTTACAGAGACTGCACCTTTCCATTTATCTGGGTCTGTAAGCCAAATAATAGCATTTTAATTGTATGTAATGCACCACTCTTTCCTCAATATTCTGCTTGTGATATTTTCTGAAGTTAATTCATTGGTCCCTGCCTCAGGAAAGCCAGCCATGTTGATATTTTTCTCAATGAAGTGAAAGAATATTTACTCCGATGACTTTGCTGTCAAAAACATCCTTCATCAATAGGATGCTGTCTAAACAAGCTTGAAAACATGTACATTTAAAACTACATATACTTTTTCATGATTTTAGATTTTAAAACCCTATCTACTTTGTCCTAAGTGAGGCCCTGGCCAGTGTGTCTTGGTTGGACATCAGCCTGCAGAGCAAAGGGCTGCAAGTTTGATTTCCTATCAAGGGCACAGTCCTGGGTTGCAAACAGGACCCCATACAGGGCAAGTACAAGAGGCAACTGACTGATGTTTCTCTCTCACATCCACATTTCTCTCTCTCTCTCCCTTCACTCTCCCCGGCTAAAGATAAATAAAATATTTCTTTTTAAAAAAAGGCAAAGGAGCCCTGGCTGGTGTGGCTCAGTGGATTGAGCACCAGCCTGCAAACCACAGGATCTCCAGTTTGATTCGCAGTCAGGGCACATGCCTGGGTTCCAGGCCAGGTCCCCATTTGGGGGTTTGCAAGAGGCAATCACACATAGATGTTTCTCTCCCTCTCCCTCTCTTCCCCTTTATCTAAAGACAAAATAAATAAAATCTTTTTTTTTAAGGCAAAGGAGGCAGTTTTGCCTACACTAATACAACACAATCGGTCTGCTACGAAATAATGTGAAGAAAATACAATGTGCAAACCAAGAAGTTGCATGTTACTGTGCCTGGGTACAGTAGGGAATGTCTGTGTGTATGCACTCAGCCTTTTTCTGGAATGACTCACAAGAAATTAGGAACACACATTGCCTCTGGGGAAGAACACCAGGTGGCTAAGACCAATTTTTCACTATATACTGCTATGTACCTTTAGAATTAAGAATTCTATACCATATAAATGCATTATTTGCCCTAAAACTAAATGCTATTAAACAAAGTTCCTTTGAAGAGGCATAAATAACAAAGGCATAATAAGGACTGTGTGGGTCCTCCACCCACAGCCCTCCACAGCGGGGCCATTTCCACGGAGTACACACCATGGTGGGACCTAGTCTCATCTTCAGCCAGCAGGCTTCACCTCCTACAGTAGCACGACACTCGAGTTACCAAGGTCCTGGCTGGTGCCAGCAAGGGACAGGGACTTAAGGTAACCACTTCCTCCTTCCCCCCTCAGTTCTCTAGAGCCACCATCAACGCTGAGAAACCTTCCACCCTACTCTGGGCTTAAAAAAAAAGACCATAAACTGTCCATCGATCTAGAAAATGATTTCTACTACATTTCTGTGTTTGTCTGAACACTTTCGAAATTAATGTTCTGACCACTCCAGCTCACCTGGTATATCTACGGTGGCTAAGGGCAGGAAACAGTTTATAAAAATCCCAGACATGCCAAGGGTTACACATAACGCACCAAACAATGCAAATTCCCGTAAAACTGTAGACGGCTGTTGTTTACAAAGCGTTTCCACATACATCATCGCATTTTATGTCTTCAGTGTCAATCCTGGCAAACCCAACAGCCGCCAAACTCGATTTATTTTCCTTCGAGAATTGTAGAATCAGTACTAACAATAAAACAGCTATCAACGGGCTACTTTTCTACCTGCTGTGTCTGGCTGAGATTTCTCAAAAGTGACAACTCTGGGCATTCAGCAAGCTGACCAGATTCAAATACCATACACGCGACACGTTGTGTCTTGCGGCCCCGGAGGGGAAGGACCGCGTGCAAGCTCTGGGGAGGGGGCGGTGCACAGAGCACCAGGGCGGGGAGATGACTGTCTCGCCCGGCCGCGGCACGCCGCCCCAAGAGGGACTCCATTTCCAGCAGCGAAGGTTTGGCAAACGCCACACAAGCTCGGGGAATCCTCTGGGGTGACTCTCAGGTTCAGGCTCCTGGAAGGGCCAACGCAGCACGCAACCCCAGGACGTGGTATCAACCCGGACTTACAAAAATCCTAAAGTGCCGACCTGATGCCCGCCATTTAGAAAGGTGACCCTCGGCCCACCTTGCTAGGGTAGGAGGGAGTCAAAACGATAAAGTTACAGCTCGCCACAAATGCATATGGCAACTAGGGGTAAGAGGGCGCTCAGCCCGAGCCAGGCTCCTGAAGGGGGGTGTGGCGAGCTGGGGCTTTTATAGGGGTGGGGTGGGTAAAGGCGCCTCGACTGCAGGGGACGGAGGGAAAGTGCTGGGACCCCCTGCACTGGGTGCGGCGCGTCTCTGGCGTCCCGCCACGCATTAGTCCGCCGGCTCACCGGTGATGTCCAGGTACAGGTCGTCCTGCTGGTCCAGGCGATGCAGTTCCTCCGACGTGGAGCTACGGCTCTTCTTCGCTCCCAGCGAGGAGGAAGAGCCGCGCCGCGAGCAGGGGGGCGCGGCGGCCCAGCTCGCCCGCCACTCGCTCTTCCGCTTCATGGAGGCGACCGCGGCCCGTCAGGGGGCCACAACCATGGCCCCGCGCGCCCGCTCGCCCGCCGAGGCCCCCGCCAGACACGCGCGCGGGCGCTCGGGGTAGCGGGCGCGGAGAGACGCTGTGTGGACCGCGGGAGCCGGCCGATCCCGGCGGGAGGCGACCGCGCAGGAGCCGGGGGAGGGGCAGGGCCCACGGCGCCTGCCCCGCTCCCTTCGGCAGCCGCCGCTAGACCCGCGCGGTAGCCCAGGCTACAGCGCCTCCTGCCGCGGCCGGCGCCCCCCAGCCCGCCCTCAAGTGCCCGCAGCTCGCTGGCGCGGAGGAGGCGACGGTGCTGCGGCTGGCGGCTAGCGCTGCCTTTGGCCGCCTTGGGTGACCGCGCGCGCCCACCGCGGACGCTGCGGCGGTGGTGCCTGAGTAAAGCGGACCGCGGCACCCGGGACCCCAGGAGGGCTGTTCCGTAGAGCTTCATTCACAAAAAAAGGGCCCACAACCCTCCTCGGGGCTCGCAGACCGAGGCCTTTCATTGGTGAGTGGGGCGTGACGTCACGGATACGGGGCCTTTCTACAGGCAGGTACCCGGTGACGCCATAAAGAAAAGTCTGAGTGGTTCAGCCAATCAAAAATAGAAGTGTGCGGGCGACACTCTGCTAGCGCCCCAACTTTACTGTTTCTTCTGTGTTCCTAGAGCTCAAAGACCCTAGTTCCCTACTTAGTTTCCAAGGCTTTACAACCCCAACCTAGTAACTCCAGTCCTTTGGCATGTATAGTTCTTTAAGGAGTTTTTGGTTTTTCTTGTAATTGCGCCAGCTGGAGGAGGACTTTTGTCATGGCTTCAGGCTTGGACTGATTAAGCGCCTCTATATAGACTTAAGGTAGATTTGGTTTCAGAACTTAACGAGCTGTTTGAGTCAGCTTTTGATGACTTATGCGTACCATTCAAAAAGAACCGGCACGGGCTCCTTCAGGAGTGGCTAAAACTACGGTGGAGACAGGATATACAGCAATGGTTTGCATCTCGTAGTTCTTCATCTCGGAATCCAGTACCGGCATTGGCTCAGTAATTTATAGGCCAATTACTAATGCTTTTCTTACCTAAGGTGTCTACAGGTCAAGTTTTTGAAGTATTGAAGCAAGTGGTGAATTTAATTCTTGAAACTTTCATCTTGCAAATTTAAGTCCTATCTCTTTGTTTTTCTACTGGGTTAAAATAACGCCAGAACTTTCTGGAACTTACCAACACTGTCATTTGGCAGGGCCTTTAAACAAATTTTCATGGTAGCCTCTAAAAGAGTGAGTAGATTGGAGGACAGTTTACATTTCTTAGCTCAAAATTCTACGTCTTGCAAACTACCGGTATTCCTAATTTTTCGCCAACATTTTCACGTTTTATCCTGCGGTTCCTCAACTACAGCCAGCTTCTAGAAGATTAAGTTGAATTCAGTCAGTCCTCCAGGAAGCCTTTCAGAAATGCAAATTTTGATAGATTGCCTCCCGGAAGGGCTCTTTGACTTCTATTGTCTAAAGCACTGCTAATTAAGGAGGAAAGGGGGCTGGGAGTTGAGGGTTCAGTGTGGCTGTCTCAGTGGAACGGTCTGCAAGTAGAGCTCAGCCATATAGATCAGAAATTTAGTAGTCATGTCCATTCTTCCCTTATTTCCCATAAGGAAATCGATGAAGGCCTGAAATTAAAGTTGGTCTACGTTTTTGTCTTAGGGGCAGCAAAGATGCTAGAGACTTAAAGGCTGTGATATGTAGTGCAAATGACTTCAGAAAGCAGAAACCTGTGGGTCCCAGGTCCATCCTCTGTTTTAATTGGGAAGAGGAGACCTTTCACCCTGGCATAGGAGCTCAGCAGTAGAAATGCCACCCTTTCCAAACTATCCGGAATTTCACAAGAATAGGTCTTTTGTTGTTGCTGTTTGTTTTGTTTATTGAGGTATAATTGACTATAACATTTGCTTCAAGTGTACAACATGATTTGAAATTTGTAAATATTTTGAAATTATCACCACAGTAAGTCCAGTTAACATCTCAGTAGATCTGTTTTGAATAAATACTATATGGGAGCTGTCCCCTTGGCTCTCTAGAATAAAATTCAAGTACTACATCACATTCTATTTATTTGAGAGTGACTTACATAAATGGTGAACTAAAGCTAAAGTGTCAAGAAGTTAATTCCTTTTTTCTCATCTTCAAATACAGTGTTTGGGCTAGAAATTCTAACGAAGTGCATGTTTTCAATAAAACAAAAATGTCAAATACAAATAATTATACTGTTTAAGCATCTTTACATTTTACAAATATATACTTTTATTAAAGGTTTTGTTAGTATAACATCATTAAGAGAAAAAATATATGATTACACTTTATAATTATGTATAAATATCTTCCATTCTTGGGAAAGAAAGTCTTATGTACTAAGTGTACATGTGAAAGTTTTAAACCCTATTCATATTTTGTTCTTAGGTCATGTTTAGATGGTGGCTAAAAGTGCTATTTCTTACAGATACTTGTTTTGTTGTTGCACTTCCCTTGAACAATGTGAATCTTCCCGCACTTCAAAAATGGCCACCTCTGGGCTCTTAGAATTTGGCCACAGGAAATGCAGTTTGCTTAGTTGGTTGGTGAGTCTGTTCATTGTCTGACCATTAATCATAGAATTTTAGAGCTTGGAAGAGCCTTGACATTATTTGGTTCAAGTCTGTCCTTCCACAGTGAGGACCTGGCACCCACACCAGTGGCAGTGGCAGGGCTGGGGGAAGGAACTAAATCCTGCAGGACTCTAAGTTTTTCTCTGAGCTGTCTGAGCTGTCTAGTTGTGATCCTCAACTTGTGGGCAGCACAGGAAAAGCAACAAAAGGAGGGGAGGAGTTCTAGGTAAAATTCACCCTGAAGGAAAACAGTTACAGAGCATTTTCTTAAGTGTGTATTTCAAATGAGTCATTCTGAAAAATTTTAAATCTTACACTGAAATTTGGAGAAACTGGTTGATACATATGATGCTAAAGTTTTAATGATAATACAAGCTTTAGAATCAGTGGATTACAGCTTTAATTATGTGAAGATAATTTGCTTAAGGTCAAAATTTAATGAAAAACTAGAGGGCTTACGTGTAGGCATATGGAAAAATGCACACACACTAAAATCTTTACTAGCATTCTATTTCCTTGAGAAAAATTGGTTGAGTTTCTTTGGATATTCTAGTGATCTCAGCATTAATTTGAAATCCCCTGTGTTCCTGACTTTGAAACTGAAAATCTCAGAATTGTGAAAAGGGTTAAAAATGGATATTTATTGAGCTCCCATCAGAGGCTTCACACAAATGCTGGTAGGTGTTTTTGTTGTTGTTATGGGAACAGAATCCCTCCTGTACTGGTCACAGTTCAGGTCCTTATCCCAGGACCTGCAGTGAGTTTGGCTTGAAAATCCATGCTCTTTCTTAGGGCCTACACCATTCTTCACAGGTGGAGAACAGAGTTTAAAGGGATCTTTTCTTGCAGATGGGTTTTTGAAATTGAATAACCTCTATAGTTGAGTAAATGTCAAGTTTTTTATTAATTTTTTTAGACCTCAGACCAAACTCTGTAATTGAGGATTTTAAAAACAATATTCCTGATATTGTTTTTTTGTTATGTACATTTGGCCCCACAGAAAACACAAAATAATAATAATAGAATGTTGAGGAAAAGGAGTGAACATTCTGGTTGTGTGGAGTCTTGTGATAAGAGAACTACCGAGAATGCTTCCATCCCAAGGCCAGAAAGACCTGTGCCTAGCAAACTGAATAAGCAGCATAGAACTTTGTCTTTCATTTATTTTTTGAAAAATACTGGCATGCATTTAACGTACTGTCAGATATTCAATATGTCAATGGAGTAGAATGTAGTAATCTGGGAGAAATGGAAAAAGGTAAATGAAGATCAGCACATTCGTACTCTCTTTGGCTAAACGATTCTACCAAGAATGAGGGGGTGTTTGTGCTCAACCTGCTGGTTAGCTTCAGAAATCTGGGTCTTCTTTTATGATATCGGCTTTTTACCTTAAAGATTCTTGGTGATTTTTTCCCCCAGGTTCTGGAGTAAGGAAATTTTCTTTTTCTTTGGTTGTATCCCAAATGACCAAAATAATGTCTCGACATGTTACCATATTTTAAAAATTTTTTTCTGTATTTAATTTAGAGAGAGGAGGGGGATGGAGAGAGACAGAAACTTCAGTTTGTTTATCCACTTATTCATGCATTCATTTGTTGATTCTTGTATGTGCCTTGACCAGAGATGGAGCCACAACCTTGGCACTCTAACCAATTGGGTTACCCGGCCAGGTCTGTCACTATATTTTTAATTTTTAAATAAAAAAACAGAGGCGCCCTGACTGGTGTGGCTCAGCTGGTAGGGCATCATCCCACAAAGCAGAAGGTCCCAGGTTTGATTCTCAGTCAGGGCACATGCCTGGGTTGCAGGCTGGACCAGTTGAGGCACATGCGAGAGGCAGCCCATCAATGTCTCTCTTCCTCTCTTTCTCCATCCCTTTCCTTCTCTCTAAAAATAAATAAACAAAATCGTTTAAAAACTTTGTTTAAAACAGATGTGGATATACATATGAAACTTCACCCTCACACCCCAATCCTACTCTCATAGATAACCACCTTTAACAGTCTGCATTTAGATAAAAAGACAGCTTTTTAAAAAAAATTAATTGGTTCATACTGTGCATATTTTCTGTGAACTGTTCTTTTTCACTTAGTGCACCATCTTGAAAATTTCCCTTGTCAGCCCTTATGGCCAACTTCATTCACTCTAATGGCTGTATAGGTTTATCTTTTTGTTTGCCATAATTTATTTTCCTACAGGTAGACACTGAGGTTTGGGGGGCAGGGGACTGCTATTGCAAACAAGGCTGCAGTGAATGTCCTAACAGGTGTATATCCACAGGAGGTGGAATTGATGGATCAAAGGGTATTCACTTTTTAAATTTTGATAAAAACTAACACTATTTGTTAGTACCTGTTTCCCCACACTCTTGAAATCATTGATACATAATCAGTACTTTAAAGTTTGAGAACAAAAAATGATATCTCTTTTCATTGCATTTCCCTGATCACTAGTAGAGCTGAACATACTGTAAAGTGATCATTAGATGTTTGAAGTAGGTTTTCTCAAAATTTCTTATTCATGTTATTTGCTCATTTTTTGTTTTCATTTTCCCTTAGATGGGTGGTAGCTGTTTATATATTATGGATATCAGTAGTCCTTCCACTTTTGCTGATATTCCTTATCTACATATTCTTTGTCATATTACTCCATGCATGTTGCTACAAGACTTTTAATGTCAAATCAATTTTACCAATTTTTTTAAGGAGTCTAAGTGTTGGATCTTATTTTTCCCATCCTAGTATTTTAAAAGTATTCTTTATTTGCTTCTATTTCTTTTAGAGATGTTATTATATTTAGC